AGAAAAGGGGGGGTTAGGGGTCGAGAGGGAGAGAGCCTCTGCTCTGCTTTCAGTTGTCTGCTACCACTCACTGTAATACCGTGTTATTATAGTAACCATGGCGGCCGTGTGAATGGGACAGAATGGCTGCCCGGGCTGTTGTCCGCCGAGGACAATCAGCAGGCTTTGGTTCTGAATTGCAGGGTTGGAGACGGCGGGTTAAGTGGTGGCACTGTAGGGGCCGCTCCTGTAATGGTGCAGCGATCGGGCCACTTGAGAGCGACACACAGGGGCGCCGTCATCGCCGAACACACTTGGCATCGCACGTGCGAGCTTCAGATTTAGCTTTGATTTCTTGCCGTTTTTTTGTACGCTGTGTATTTGTCTGCCACGATTAATCACAAGGGTGGCAAGTGACTTGGCTCTGACCACAGATTGTCAGCATGTCGGATCTGGTTCCTCTTTCAACCCGGCCAACCCCCTCCCGCCACGCTGTCCTACAGCCTGTAAGCCGGGCCCGCTTCAGGGTGCACCTGTGTCTTTCTCAGGACACACGGATGGCTTGAGGACAGACAACGATACGTCGCATTGTACGCTGCTGCCCAGAGCAGATTTGTCATCTGTGCTGTTGGAGATCCAAAGCTCGCCTGTCATTAGCAGCTCCATTGTCACGTAGAGGACAGTACCAAAAAGTGAATAACACAAGGAAACACAACCAAACGGTGACTCAGACGAGCGGGTGTTCCTCTTCAAGTCCATTTGTCTTGAACCTCCAGAAATGGAGCTAAATCCTCCACTGGGTTCCACAGCAAAGCCAAACAGATTACAGAATCATCCATGTCTGGTTTACTGCTAAAACTGAGATAATACGCTTCTGTTGGGGGGGGTAGCAAAGAAATGCAATTTTCCCCTGAAATGTGTTTTCAAAGCAGAGAAAAACAAGCCTGTTTAATTGTCGCTCTCCCTTTTGCATGTTTTGCTTTCACACCAAACAGGAAAAAAAAAAACTAAGAAGTTGGACGACGACTTTCTCCTTGAGCGTCCTCGTCTGTGTCGGACCTCTTAAAAACCCAGTCTGTTTGTTTTGCAGAGCACCCCACAGAGTCATTTAAAAAGTCAAAAGGATGTTTTTACATACAGAATGCTGAATGCATCAGACAAGCCCCACTGCTGCAGCGTGTTGTCTTTCCTGTCCTAATGCTGGCTGTATCCATCTACGCCGCAGGGGTCCTCCACTCTCCCCTTAGGTGTCTGAGGCAGGCCTGAAATGTTCTTTTGTTCGGTAACTGACATTTTGCAATGGATCGATGCAGGGATGTTGGGGGAACGGCATTACTCATGAACTCCTCCTTTTGTTTTTGATGTTTCGAAGGAATAAAGCACAGCATCACTTGCATTATGAGGCTCTGTGCCTGAGTTGTAACCTGTTATAGCCTGTTATCACCGTCACCATCACCATGACTGTTCTGAACTCATCTCCCACGGCATTCTGTCATATCATATGTTATAGTTTGAAAGGAGTTTAAATTTCCTAGAAAGTTTGGCAAACTCAGGGAATCATTTAACTTATCCAGCCCTGACAAATTACATGCTCTATTGAAGCCCATTGGTCTTTAGGAAATGCCTTCTCCATCCATCCAAACTCTCTGCTATTGATTTTTTTTTTCCCTCCTAAGAAATCCCCATTGGTGCTATTTTCCACTTCTTTCTAGCCATTATCCGTTAAACTTTCTCTAACCATTTATTTACCATCTATTATTCCCTCCACAGTTCGTCAAGTTCGCCAACATCGAGGAGGACACGCCATCCTACCACCGCCGCTACGACTTCTTCGTGTCTCAGTTCAGCGCCATGTGCCACTCCACTCACGAGGACCCGGCGACCAGGACCAGGTGGGCTCACGGGCGCTGCAGACTGCTGCCAGGGATTGGTACCTCATGCTAACTAAGCCTTAGCATTCTGATTACCTTGAATTAATATTCAAGTCTATACGGATTGTGGAGTTGGAGAATAGCCAGATTTCTGTTGTGCGAAATTTATGTTGTTAATAACGCTACTACTACGACTTTTGCTGCTGCTATTACTACTACTACTAATGTTATTAATAATAATAAGAAGCAGAAGAAGAATATCATCGTTGTCGTCGTCATCATCATCATGCTTTGAATTTTAAATAATAAACAAATGATACAAAGAAAAACCAACATCAAAAACCAGAAGCAACTAGCGTAATTGTACAGCAGATTCCTGTACACAGTGTGCCAGTGCTGCAGTGTCCTCTCTGTGATTGATTCACACAGAGACGGGCCGGGGGTGGGCAGGTGGGGGCTGGAGGGATGGGGGGATGGTACAGTATGCTTTTGTTGACCATCATTACCTTTGTCACCATGTTTCTCTACTTTAGCCTGATCCCACACCCTTTGTGTTGGACAGAAATTAGAGGTGAATCTGTCCTAGATTTCTCATTTTGATTTGATGCTCCAGGGCCTATCACAGACTGGAACTGGATAATCCGCTTTTCTGTGTGTCTGTGTGTGTGAAAGGCTGAAAGTAAGAGAGCAAGAGAAAGAGCCGGGAATGGAAACAAAAATTCTGTCTCCTTGTCTTTTTTTTAAATTTACTGTTACAGAAAACAGTCTTGCATAAATGAGAATATTCTGACATTTTACATGGAAAAAATTGACATTTTAGATAGGCAGCTGTGTGTGACTGTGTGTGTATGTGTGTGTGTCTCTGTGTGTGTATGTATTTGTGTTTGCATACACACTGATAATACACCTGTCTGTGTTGTCGTTCAATTAAATATTTAGATGCTTGCTTTAAGCAGTCACACATTTCTGAGCGTGGTAGAACACCATGAGCTGCTTCTTATTCTATCAATAAGATTGATTTTACTTTGTTGACAACTGAAGCCGTAAATTGACAGCACTTGTATTACACAGATCCTGAAGTTCGTCGCTCGGCAAGCCACTCTCAGAGTTTTAATTAGAAAGCCTGCCTGGTTTCAAACAAAGCAATCACAAGTCGAGGAGCAATCCTGGCAAGGAAAAAAAGGCATTCAAGCAAGCCGTCTGATTTGTCACTTCATTAACCATCGTCAGACTCCGCCCTTCTGTGACATCAGCGAGTTTGCTGTTTGCCCCTCCAGCATTCACATGTTTATTCTCAGATCTCCTCAGAAAGGCACTTCCTGGCTTGTGAACATTCGAACGCAAATGGTACCCTCTTAATGTTATGTCGCAAACAGGGTATTCACCATGAGCGATTGCCAGCTTTATTGGTTTATTTGTCTTGGAACCTTATCAAAGTTGCCTGTTTGTGGATAGAAGAGGCACCTGGGTTTGGTGTACGTTGATGCACAAGTGCTGTGATTTTATGTTCCGTGTGCAGAGTGCTGCGGGAGGGAAGCCAGCATGGCTTGCATCCAAAAGCAGGAGTTATTGGCGTACCCCAGTGAGTCAGAGCTGAAAAGCCCAGCTGTCTGAACCGTGACCCCAGTGCGCTCTGGGGGCAAAAAAACACCGCTGCCTGAATCACGTTTCCGCCTACCCCGTTCGCCTCCCCGAGCCCGCGTGGCCTGAGGGGGTTAGGCGGGTCGGCCTACACGGGAAATTCGTTCGCCGGCCCCCTTTCACCTCCTGTCCACGTCAAGCTCCCGCCGCACAGCCACGGCATATCATTCTGTGTGTCACACACTGTACCTGTTCTGTGTCACATGCCGCACCCACGGGTACAGCAGCGATCCAAAGCAAACTCCATCATGCAGGCAGCATAAAACACAGTCCTCGGTTCATATTTCATAACTGTGACAGTACGGGCAACCATGATAGTATCTTAGTGTCTTCCTATTGGTCTTAACCTCATGCAGTCAGAAGGCTAGGCTAAAAGGTCTGTGGGCAGGGGTTCGTAACCTACTGCATTCACTAATTCAGCATGAAGATGCATTGCCACAGAGCGCCTGCCTCCTGCCTGCTGGTGTCTGTGTCTCTCCCAGACCCGTAGCCCCTATGTGAAACGGAAGCGGCAGGAGTGTTCCACCAGCAGCGGCAGGGGTTTTGGCGGGCTGCAGCCCTCGCTGTCCTGCGTATCCAACCACCACCCCCACCCCCCAACCCCCCCCCGGGCCCAACCGCAACGCGCAGACAGCAGTGTCCGTCTCCCTCTCTCTCTCCTTCCCCGCAGCCGAGACGAGGCGAGCGCCATTGCCGCACCTTTCCGTGGCACGTGTTCGCCCTCTAGTGGCAGGCCCTTTGTAATTGCCGTCTTGGGGGGGCAGGGCTGTTTCTGCCGCGAGCCAAGCTTGGGAAATGAATCGGGCTTCGGCGGCAGTGATGTTCTTTTCATGTCGCTCCACACAAGACCGAAACGCAAGGACATCTGATCCCAGTGCGTACCGTGTCTGCAGCTCTGACAGACTGCACCGTGATCTCCATCCCTGTGCAGGCTGGAGCAGCTGTTGGTGAGATCCAAAATGTGTGCAAATCAGAAAAACCAAATAAACACCCATCTCCAGAAAATGACATTTCCAAAAATATATGTATATATAAAATCCAGAAATTCCATGGAGTTTTTCTCTTTGTTGATACAATAAAGAATATCATATTCAGACGCCTAGCTAAATCATAGGGGGGTCCAGATTATGCGTCTCAATATTACAGTTGGTAAAAAAAGCCAATGTCAGTCTGACAGACTCAATTGTTGTGCCACAGAGGAGTATTGGTATTGTAGGGGAAGCAAGTCAGAAGACTCATATTTGAAATTGGAATCCAGAGTGATAATATTGCTGGAACCAAAGGAAGTCTCAAATGAGAGAGGCAATAAAGCACGCCTTATTGTTTCAGTTTCTCTTTTCCCTTGCATCCGCCGTAACTCTTGGGGACCGCCACAAGTCAGTATTTCACGAACCGGATTTCCCCACCATGTCGCCTTTTGTCTGAAAACAGCAAGGACGTGATCGTAACCCCGCTTTCCCAGTGAGGAGCTTGGCACACTCGAGATTAGATCACAATAAACTACAGGGCAGCAGTGTAGCATAGTGGTTAAGGAATAGGACTCGTAACCAAAAGGTTGCTGGTTCGATTCCCCCTGGGGCACTGTTGCTGTACCCTTGGGCAAGGTACTTAACCCACAACTGCCTCAGTAATCATCCAGCTGTATAAATGGATAACATTGTAAAAAAAAAAACTGTAACTGATGTAAGTCGCTCTGGATAAGAGTGTCTGCTAAATGCCAATAATAAAAATTATGAAAAATAATAATAATACGCAAGTAACCGTGCAACATGTGCCAACAACATGTGCCAACAACATTAATGTTCTGCAGTGCTTCCCAGGTTGTTGCCTGGGATTATGGGTGTGATGGGCGTGGTTGCATTGTGTCACATGTTCTGTAGCGCCTCTTTCTTCCTCTGGCATTGGCAGGATCCGCATGGCGGGGATCAAGGGCCTCCAGGGCGTGGTGAGGAAGACAGTAAACGATGAGCTCCAGGCTATCATCTGGGAGCCCCAGCACATGGACAAGCTCATCCCCTCCATGCTCTTCAACATGCAGCAGGCAGAAGACTTCGACAGGTGGGACCCGGGGCTCGGTGATCTCACGGGAGGGGCTGTCAGGGGGTAGCTCTGTCTGGTGGTGGGGGGAGGCGCGTAGCTCTATTTTATGGTGGTTGGAATTGCGGGGGCCGGGGGGGTGGGGTTGAGCTCTGTCTGGGGTACACCAGCACTCACAAATTTGCGAAGAATCCCAGAATCAAGATTCCCAACTTGCAAACCTCCATAAACCCACAAGCCTGCAAAGAATCCCAGCTCATTGCAGGTGCAGTCCAGCAGCAAAGGAATGTCATCATTCATCTTGCATTCAAAGTGCATGCTGTAGCAAATGTGGTCCTTAAACAATCAGAAATGTATCTTTCTAAAATGATCTACAGATGAAGAGTGCTGTTCTGTACGTCCTCTTGAATGAGTAATGCAGCATAAAGTTTGTGTTTTTCACGCGTTGAAGGGTAGCACAAGCCGCTCTCTGATCAGTAATTGAAATATCATTTAACATGTGGTTAAATCGAGCTTGAAATTAACTTGAGATTTTTTTGGGGGGGAAAAAGTTAGGAAGTGTTTGGAATTGAACCTCAGGGAACACTTTGATGTACCAAGCTTGCTCGAACTCAGCGGTACTTAAAAGCCCGGACATACCACACCAGCCCTGTAAACTGTAACCCAGGGGCCATAACTGCTTTTGTCAGAGGAGCCAGATACAGCAACGTACCAAAAATTGTAATGGTGGGCCAAATATTTTCCACTTTCCACTGAGAAAACAACATATGAATAAGGTTACATGTGTGTTAACGCAGATGTAGAAAAAATAAATAACAATTATTTACCACATTCAGGATGAAGCATAAACATTGTCTTACTTGTGACCTATTGCAGTGATCAGTTTAGAACAGGTACGTGCTTCAAATAAGCAAATAAAGCTATATGGTTTCAGGGACACAAATATAATTCATACACCAATCTGAGGAATAACAACATATGTTAACAATGAAGTTGTGTGGTTACTTATGGTTCCAGTATTCCTGATATAAAGAAAAATGTTATGCTGGAAATATTGTCATTGGCTGCATGCAAGTCTGTTGAAGGATTGCATTTCTCTTTATCCAGTGCTTCTGCACAAATGAAGATATGTTACGGTGAGATTAGCCTAATGGACAATTCCAGAACTAAGGTTGCGTTAGGAAGGAAAATGTGGTCTGATGTCTTGTGCATGTACTTTTGTGCATGTTGCTTTGTTATAGTCCCTCTGGATAGTGTCAATTGCCAAATGAGTAAATGTAGTTGAATCCTGTTGTAACCTAACACCACATTATCTGCTATGAACTCAGATACATAAGGAAATGCAATTGAAATCTGGGCCATTGCTCATGAGTTGATCAGAGGAAACGGTGCAGCTGCAAGGATGTCACTTTCTGTCTAGCTGTGGCATATCCGAGTTGAGCCAAGTTTACTTGTATTAGATTGCCTTTTAACCTTTGGGAATTGTAGTGTTCCAGCAGTGACTGGCCTCGCATTGTCTGCAGTCTCCCTTCACAATGGCAGCCTCTCATTTCATTACTCACAGCCACTTTGGCCTAAGCTAATGTTCACAGGCCATTATGCCCAGATGGCTATAGCCCTGCTCTTCCCCTACGTATACACAGGCACACACACACACTCAAATGTGGACACATACACACACAAGCACACACGCACACACACGTACCCATATACTCACTCACCCACTCACGTGCATGCACGCACGCACACACACACGCGTTCAGCTTCATGCTATAAAATCCATAATCTCACTTATGAAGACGTGCACATTTTTCCTGTTAGTCACTGGGAGGAAATGTCACAGAAGTATAGAGCAATAAGCCCTGGCCCTCTCTGTCAGTCACAGCCTGTGGGTAGAGCAGGCACTGGGGAAGCCTTCTCCTGGGAGGAAAGCTGTTTATTCCCCCTCACTCTGGGAAGAAAGGAAATGGCAGGATTGTCCCTCTCTGCTGCCTTTCGCACGTGGGCTCGCTCATGAATCAGCCTGTTCACTTTCCCCCGGCCTTGACTGTGCCGCGGCTGCCACCCTGATGGGCGGCTCCCGCTCCCCGCAGCGCACGCCCCTTCCCCCTGGCCTCGTCCCCGTCCCCTCCCCCGTCCCCTGTCCCCCAGCAGTGTCACGATAATCCACCCACTACCTCTCTCTGGTTTCCGCAGACACCCACGCTCAAACCCGAACCTCCCATCCAACACATCAGACGAGCTTTGCTGGAGGTCTTATATAACACTGAAGATGTAAAGCAGCATTCCAAGGACAAATGGCGTAAATTGAACTAGCTTTTGTGCTCATATTAATTCCAGCCCCTCTCTCTTTTCTTTTTTTCCATTTTTTCCCTGACCCCCCCCCCCCCCTCCCACCCTGTGTGTGTGTGTCCTCCCACCCCCTGTGTGTGTGTGTGTGTGTGTGTGTGTGTGTGTACAGTTTCACTCTAACTCGCTCTCCTTTTCTGTTGGCTGGCATATTCCCTTTGCCTCTCTCTTCTCTATAGCTTTTTGCAACAGTTTGTGCCACAGTCTGAAAGGACCATTTGGATCATTGGCTAGTGCTAGTTATTTCTTCCAGCCCAGTCAACAATATCTCCCAAGGTACCCCTTAACCCAGCCATGTGTCAGTTTACACCTGGTGTCTAAATAACCGGAACAAGGATAAAATGGTAGCCTAACATTTTTACTTTTTAGCAAAACATGAATTTGGGCCGTCTACACGAGGTGAAATTCAGATTTAGATCTGACCTTGGCACTGTGAAGTCAGATGAGAGTGAGGGCCGCTCGCTTTGGAGCTACCTATAATCGCCCGGCTTGAGAGACTAGTGCCTCTGATCTGAGATCAGTGCCTTCCCTGGCCCCAGCTGTGAAAGCAATAGAGACTGCAGGTGGCCTCTGGCTCAGCATCGATCTGAGGCCTCCCTGTGCAATAAAGTCAGCCTAGTTTCCTGGAAACCTTTCACAGAGGGCTTGTGAGGGTCTTTCTTCTCCTTTTTTATGGTGTCTCTGGATCGGCTTCAATCATTTTTTTCAGGTTTTTGTCTTATTGGTGCGGCTTTAACATTGTTTCATTTCAAAATGGCCACAAAGGTTGAACAGATCTGCTTCATGTCGCGTCTTTCATTACCCTGTTAATTTTTTTAACAGACATCTTAAGTGACAGCAACCTCCATACCTTACATTTTGACCCACACATTTTATGTAGCTGGACATTTGCTGAGGCAGTTGTAATCATCTTCCTCAGGGTCACAACAGTGGAGTCAAACCTTTAACCCTCCGAGCATCCAGACCAGTTTGGTTTGCTGCTTCCTAGTCCTGTCACCCACCCTTTCATGGTAAAGCTCATCCCTTTGCTTTGAGATGCTTAAAGTTGCGTGCAGCTCACCCTCAGATAGTTTCTTACCCCATGAGTAGCCTTAGTGGTATATCTGGGGCCTAAGTACAGCCGAAAGTTTAGAATTATTCATATCCATACCATTGGAGAGTCCTCAAGGCCCTGGTAAAAGTTCAGCATGTGTAATCTGCAGAGATTGATCATTTTATTCAAATAAGGCCAGAGGAGGTTTTTTTTTTTCTTTTTCTGTTCAGTGCACGTACGAATCGTGTGGCCCCCTGGGACCCTCCAGTACCTGGTGCGTTAGTATTATTAGAGAGGACAAGTTTTAAGTGGACGGCCACCACCAGCTCTGATGTCTCCGTAACATGACCGGGATATCAGCGTTTTTTTGGCTCACTCCTTCCCTCTGGGTTCTTTCCATGAGGACAAGCTATTTTCGTCGCGGGACTGCGGGACACCATTTTACCAACAGCTTTACAGGCATCAAGGAAATTCGAATGTGACCATTTCAAGTGCAAGAGCACAAAGCCAAACACCGGACAGCTTAAATGAGGAGAACCTGGGATCACAGCAAGGAAGTGCACTCATACTATGTGCACCCTTCCCCAAAAGTAAAAAGTATTCATCATGTATCTGTTTTTGGTCATCACATTTATCCCTAACGATGACCAGTTGTTCCTCTGATTAATATTTCATAGCATGGAGGAGCAAGCATAGAAGACTTTGAGGAAGGTGCTATGAATGGTTTAAAGCCATTTTTGTCATTTTACATTTGTCTCTGCATCCTCATTAACTTACTTTTAAATGTATCCTCAAGAGCTCAGCTCCGGCTCCCAGCACCCAGGGATAAAGAGGCCTCTGGGATGTCCTGTATTTTTTTAAGGCCTTGTGGAGCACTGGCCCTTGCCGCCTTATGGAAGTCCATAAGAGTTCAGAGTTGAGCAGTCCACTCTGATGCTGTGGATGCTGCAGTAAGCAAGCTTCTGTGTTCCAACACCCACCAGCCCATGGAATTATGCTTCCCGCGTGAACTGTTGTAATATTTGAACTGTTTTGGCAGCACAGTAGTAAAAAAAGTGGAGTGAAGGCCAGTGTGTCTGGACCTCCTGGCAGGGGGTCAGAATGTCAGGTTTGCCCATTTATCTTGCTGCCACTCTGTACAAGAGCGGCCGAGTCTGTGAAGACGTCC